ACCCATAGATACCCAGTGAACCAGTGGAAAAGCACGTGCTCAGGAAGACTATGCAAGGATGCTGGTAAAGGTGGTGAGCAGTGACTGAACTGAGACTCTGTTCTGAAGGTAGAGCCAACAGGAATTGTTGATGGATTAGGTATAGGAGAAGCATCAAAAACTGAATTGAAGGGTGACTCTGTAGCTTTTGGTCTGAGCAACTGGTGTGGCTTTGCAGTTCACTGAGATAAAAAGTACATTTGGTTGTTGGAAAGAGGATGTTGTAAATTAACAGTTCTTTCTTGGATATGTTTAACTTGAATGGCTATTGTGTGTCTGTAATTTGGTAGAGAGGTCTTTGAGAATTAGTAGCATGGAGATAGTTTCTGCTGAGGTCAGTTTCCCTCATTATTGTGTATTCTGTCCCATGCCCGCTCTCATAAAACATGTGCCCATTTACTAGAATCAAAAGACAAGAAATAACAAGTGTTGGCGAGGATGTAGAGAAAAGGAACCCTTGTGCACTGTTGTTGGGAATATAAATTGGCCCGGCCACTGTGGTGAAAACTGTATGTAGGTTTCTCAAAAAATTAAAATAGAACTACCATATGACCCAGTAATTCCACTACTGGATATTTATTTATCCAAATCAAGCAAAAAACACTAATTTGAAAACATGTATGCACTCCTCTGTTTATTGCATTATTTACAAGAGCCAAAATATGGAAGCAGACCAAGTGTCTTTCCATAGATAAATGGATAAAGATGATGGTGAGTGTATAATGAAATATTACTCAGCTAAGTGAAATAAGTCAGAGACAAATACCATATGATTTCACTTATGTGTGGAATCTAAAAAAACCAAAACAAGATGGACAAAGAAACAAAAAATAGAAACAGGTGCATAAACACAAAGAACAAAATGATGGCGGCCAGAGGGGACAGGGTAGGGGAATAGGCAAAATGGATGAAGGGGAGTGAGAGATACAGGCTTCTAGTTAAGGAATGATTAAGTCACAGGATGAAAGTTACAGCATAAAGAATATAGTCACTGGTATTGTAATAGCGTTATATGGTGGCAGATGGGATGCAGTGTAACGTATAGACCTAGGAATCACTATATTCTATACCTGAAACTAATGTAACATTGTGTGTCAACTGTACTTCAGTTTAAAAGAATTAGAAGCAAAAATGCTGTTCCCACCGGTATTAAATACTGCTCCTCCCTCCCCAAAATAAAACCCAAAACAGTTTTTAAAGATTCAGTTATTAAAACCTTTTGGGGTAATCTGTTGTGTCCTAATCAAGGCAGAATGAGAGGGAGGATCAAAGGTCCTCCAAGGGATTAGAATAGTACTATAAAATAAAAAAGAAAAGATTAGCTGATGATAGCCACATTGCGGTCAAATATAAGGGCTATTAAAAAATAGACATTTCAGGAAGTGCCTTGGGTGGGTCGGTGGGTTAAGTGTCCGAGGCTTGATCTCATCTCAGGTCTTGATCGCGGGCTTGTGAGTTCGGGCCCCACACTGGGCTTCACGCTGGGTGTGGAGCCTACTTAAAACAAAATAGACATTTTGGCAAACACACACAACACAGATGTGTGCGCATTAATCCTGGTAACACAGACTGTGGTGGGAAGCAGTGTTGTTGCTTGCTCTTACTATGCTTTTTGAAATGTATGCTAGTCCTAAGCATTAAAAATATTTTTAAGGAATTAGTAGTTTCTCTTTTCAAAGATATAGGTGTATTACACAGGTGTGTGTGATATACAATATTTTATATGATATTTACATGATAAATTTTTAAAATTTTATAACATTATATACCCCCCAAAATGAGTGCATATGAAACAGTGGTGAAATATGAGTAAGAGCAATAGTCTCATTAATTGCATTGTGCCATTTTCAATTTCCTGGTTTTGATAAATGACTTTAGTTGTGTAAGATGTCATCACTGAGAGAAGCTGAATGTGGGTACATGTGAACTTTCTACAGTTTTTTGGCAACTTCAAAATAAAAAATTTTTTTTAAATATAAATACATACAGTTGAATGTCTTACCTTAAATTCTGACCTTGTTTAGTCTTACCTAGTGTAAGCCGCCACACACCCATGAAAATGGGAAGCAGAAGTGGATATCCTGGTAATATGCCAAACTTAATGGGATGTTGATTATATTCTTCATTTATTAATGCTGCACACTTTTAATACTGTGGCAGTTTTATTCATGTTTTAGTGCTTAAACTTTTTATATGAACAGAATGTGTGCATATTTAATGTACCCAAAAAGATGAAATGTGTGGTAATTTGTAAGACTAAAAGGCAGTAGTAAGACACTTTGGCAAATACAGCATATTGCAAACATTTTAGGGAGCCAAACAAGCTGAAACATGTCAAAATAATAGGTAGTTCTGTGATATTTATTGACAGCTTATAATAGCTGAACACTATTAAAAAAATGATCATAGCATTAGTTCAGTAACTTCTGAAGTGCTCATCATCTTAATGACATAAATTCTCTTTATTTCTCGTCTCTGAAAATGAAAACTTCCGTATTTTGTTATATGATTCGTCTGCCATTAATTTGTTTACATTTCTTTGTCTTTCCTAATACCAACAGTGATGGAATAGAGATGTTAAATCTGTGATTACTTACTTTTTTGGTTTTTATTTTTAAATATAAATGTTCAAAGATTTAAAGGTCCATCTTGCCATCGGCACCAACATGGATGGACCTACAGAGTATAATGCTAAGTGAAATAAGTCAGAGAAAGACAAATACCATATGATTTCACTCATATGTGGAATTTAAGAAACAAAGTGAATGAACAAAGGAAAAAAAGAGACAAACCAAAAGCAAACTGTTGGTTATTGGAGAGGCAGTGGGTGGGGGGATGGGTGAAACTAAGAGCACATATATTTTCAAGAGCACAGAGTAATGTATAGGATTATTGAGTCACTCTATTTACCCCAGAAACTAATACAACTGCGTGTTAACTACACTGGAAATGAATGAATGAATGAATGAATGAATGAATGAATGAATGAATAAATTCATTCCCAGTTGAGAAATGTCAGGGATATAGTGTTCCTACTCGGCTTTTTTTGTTTGTTTTTTTGTTTTTTGCTTTTTTAGCATGGAAGGTTTATTGAGCCATAGTAAAGTGATAGTACAAAGCTCCTAAAGAAGGAGGGGAACCGAGGAGGTTGCCTTGTTCCTACCCAGTTTTAACAAAATATCATTGGTCTTAAAAATTGCTCTGAAATGGGGCGCCTGGGTGGCTCAGTGGGTTAAAGCCTCTGCCTTCGGCTTGGGTCATGATCTCAGGGTCCTGGAATCGAGCCCCGCATCGGGCTCTCTGCTCAGCAGGGAGCCTGCTTCCCTTCCTCTCTCTCTGCCTGCCTCTCTGCCTACTTGTGATCTCTGTTTGTCAAATAAATAAAATCTTTAAAAAAAAACCAAAACATTGTTATAAAAAAATTGCTCTGAAATGGCATCAGAATCCCTAAATAACAGCAAAAAAACCCCCCAAAACAAACAAACAAACAAAAAAACCCAAGTAAATGCTTATAAGATCACAACTTTCTGTTGTGAATTTATAAGTTGTTGTATTCAGAGAACAACTGTTCTTAAAAAAATGTATGACTTCTGAAGATAGATTAAGGTTCTGAAGTTGCTTTACTAGCTTGATTTTATACTACTGATGAAACTGCAAAATGAGCCAGACTGTACTCAGTTTAGAGGAGTCATTTTTCAAATGCTTGGAGGATGAAGAATGGAAGTGACCCCTGGTGATACTCCACCTATTTGTGAAATGCGTATGGAATGTATGTGATTGATAAATACTGTGTTTATGAATATTAAGGGGAGTAAAACACTGCCCCTTTTCAAAAGGGCTTGCTGCCAAGCAAGGAATGGAACCAAAGGGACTGGATAGGGTGGGTGGGTAGAATTGGAGGTACATTGAGTCTGGGCTGAACTCAATTGTTTTTAAAAGCTTTTACAAGATAAGATCAACATTGGTAGCCTGACCACATCTGGAGAGAGAAGTTTTGGTGAATTATGGGTTGAGGGAGAGGGTAGCAGTCATGGGTATCAAAAACTACTGCATTCATAGGGCTCTGTAAATAAATAACAGTGGTCTGCAAGTTGGCTTTAAAATGATGGAATCAAAAAACGTACAATACTGGGATTAAACATGATATTATTATTATTATTTTAAAGATTTTATTTATTTATTTGAGACAGAGAGAGAGCAAGCGAGCGTATGAATGGAGGGGAGGGCCAGAGACAGAGGGAGAAGCAAACTCCCCGTAGAGCAGAGAGCCTTATGCGGGGCTCAATCCCAGGACCCTGAGATCATGACCTGAGCCAAAGGCAGATACTTAATTGAGTGAGCCACCCAGGTTGTCCCTAAACGTGATAGTAAACATGAGTTTAACAACTGGAATTATCAGGCACTTGCAAAGTTTTAAGTTAGCTCTTTATTCCAACCCTGTTTCCTTATTTAAAAAAATGGAACTCTTTGTCTTTATTCCCTATATTTCTGATGTTCTCTTAAAAATATTTATTAGCAGAGAAGTATTCCAAAAAGCTAAAAGAAGCAAGCAGTGAAAAAGAGCATACATTTCTAAACTGGATCATCAGTCCCTGGAAAATGTAAATTGATTAGGCTTCATTCAGGAGGACAAGGCAGCAGGATATCTCTAGTCATAAGGCTAGAATTCCTTAGGCAGATTATAACTCTGGCTTATCTCATCTTTCGGAAGTTGATTTTGCCACATTGTTTTGCCACATTGACTGGGGTGGCACATATTTGTGAAGTCATGTTTTTCAGACTGAAGGTAACATTTACTGAGTGAATATCAAATTCCAGGCACTCCTCTCAGGGATTAACATGCATCACTCTCTAAGAGTTTATAAAAGCATCTCTGTCAAACAATTCATTGATTAATAAATATTCATACTTATTTTTCACTTGGGATATTTGTTTTAATTTCGTTATTTCTTCTTTTTCAGCTCTTCTTTATGCAACTATTTTTGGAAATGTGACCACAATTTTCCAGCAAATGTATGCTAACACCAACCGATACCATGAGATGCTGAATAATGTGCGGGACTTTCTCAAACTCTATCAGGTCCCCAAAGGCCTCAGTGAACGAGTCATGGATTATATTGTCTCAACGTGGTCCATGTCAAAAGGCATTGACACAGAGAAGGTAAGGGTTATTATTATTGTCGTGGTCATTTATTTTCCATCTCAATGGGATCTTCAGATGCCTGTAGCTTTCCCACTCAGGTATTGCTTGTATAATTGCTTTGTAAGTGTTATGCTGTTTTTCATAAGTGACTTAGCAATCAATCGTAGTATGTATTGAGTGCTTAGGACATGCAAAGCACTCAACCGTTAATCATCAATTTAGAAATTGTGGTTTCTGAAAACTACTAATTACTCCCTTTCCCTAAAACGTTTGTTACTAGAGTAATTTCCTACATTCCTCTAAAACTAGCTCTGCTGCCCTCTCTCCTGGCCAGTCTTATTCTTGATTTCTTCTTTGACTTTTTGCCCATTTTAAATTTAGAAAGAAATGTCCTTGATTATAAAGGAAAAAAGTGAGCCCTCCATTTAAATCTCTCCCCTCTCTCACACATGTTTACGAAGGAACATACAATTCTGTATTTTCCTCTTTTCCTTACACAAATCTATAAAGTGGATACCACCTCCCCAGTCATTGAACATCTCTAAGTTGCTTATCTTTTCATGAAATCTCTTCTAATTTTTCCCATCTATCTTAAATTAGAAAAGAAGGACCCAAAGTCCTCCTTAAAATAAACAAAACCAAATTAAAAAAATAAATTCTCACTTCCTCCACCCAGCTGATTCACATCAAATATCAGGGATGACAAATAGGGCTTGCCCACGAGTTTTAGAGAATACCCATTTTTGAGCTTTTTTTTCCTTTATGAGTATCAGGGGAGGTGATTATTTTTAGGTACTGAATTCTGACATGATAATCAGGTAGTACATTACTTTCCTTGCCATGTCCCACAAATTCAGTCGTTCAGTTTGTTCTTTAAATCACATGATATTGACTTGGAGATTTCCATTAAGGTCTGCTCAGTAAGCACCATTCATTGTTAAAAGGAAAGAGCAAATGAGCAGAGTACATGTTCTGTCGGAGGAATTTCCTTGAGGTAGTTTAAAGCCAGAACAGCTATCGTTAGGAGCAGATGGTTGAGGGGATATTTAGGGATTGAATGTGGAAGAGTTTGAGGGAGGGAATCCTTCAGGGGAAGCGCAGGTGAGATACTCAGAATGGGAGGGGGAGGGGTAATTATTCTAGGAATCATGAAAGAGAGTGAGATTTCTGTCTTTCAGCATCTTACAAGCTGCAGTATTCATTTTCTAGTTAAATGGCCATTAAAATGGAATGTATAACCACAGATGGGAAAAGGACAAACTACATTCTGTGGAATTTGATGTATCTATGCCTGAGCCTAACAATATATGGTTATGGGGAGGGTATCCAGAGAAGGAAGAGAATCTTCCTCACGGACATAGGTGAGACTCAGGGTTTAAGACATCAAATGCGTGATGTTCTTTGAGGTGCACATTCACTGAAGCTGGATAAGAGGCAACAGTCTACCTTGTTAATCAGCATTTCAGTCAGAAGCTTTTCCGTTCAGAAAATGCAGTGGGGTCACATGATAGCTGGCAGAAAACATCAACCGGATGATGGAATAAGGGCCCTTTTTGTTTGAAAAGAGACTGACCCATGGCCTATGCCACAGATCTGTTATTTGGCCGATTTTTGAGTCCCTGTTCTCTGTATTCCCAGATGGAAGGGAGCCAGTTAGGTTCTCACAAGTTTCCTCTCAAGGACCTCTCTGCTTCACGAGGTAGTGAGGGTCTTGTACCCTGGCATGCGTTGTGTCTGGAAGTGGGCACTCCAGGCAGTGGGGAACAGTTTATGGGTTCCTAGTATTTACCATGGGCATTTTTGTTTTTTTTTTTTGTTGTTTGTTTTTTTGGTTTGCTTATTTTTTGTGGTCACAGAAATGTGTTTTTGATTAGGGGAGTATACACTGAAAGTGGAGTAATAGGAAAAAAAGATTGGGAGGATAATATTAAAGGTAAAATAAAATGTTAGTTCAAATGAAAAGATTCTTAAAGAACTAAGTCAAAAAACTCCAGTGGATTAGATTTTGGGTAAGAAAAAAAATCACAGATGTGCTTCCTCACTGAATGGGGAATCCAGAAAGAGTAGTTTTTGACGAAAGGGGGAAGCAGAGTTAAATAACTGACAAATATGAAAGGTTTGTTGCACATGTATAAAACATATTTAAAGTTTAATTTAATGTGACAGCAAACTCTCCATGTCTATGTTGATTTCTCCCAGTCTATTAAGAAAATCCCCACCCAAATGTGTAAGAAATAACTGTAACAGATTTCTCCCAGTCTATTAAGAAAATCCCCACCCAAATGTGTAAGAAATAAATAAATGTAAAAGAAATAACTGGGACACAGTTGTAGGAGATTCTCATGAATTGTATAGTCAATGAGGATGAATTTAAAAATGCATTCTTACAGAAATAGACTCTGAACTTTAGAGAACAAACTGATGGTTACCAGAGCAGGTTTGGGAGGGGAATAGGTGAAATAGGCCATGGGGATTAAGGAGTGCACTTGTCATGATGAGCACTGGGTGACATATGGAAGTGTTGAGTCACAACCTTGTACACCTGAAAATGATAGATAGATTTGGCTAAAAAAGTGAAATCTTTAACACCAAAACCCATGCAAATGAAAATAGAGTATATGCAACAAATATCACAAGTGAAGGGTTAATTGCCTTAATATGTAAAATGATTTTGTAAATGAATAAGAATTAGAACGCTTGAGAAAAATGAGCTAAGTACATAGTTAATTTATATAAATACATAAAAATATAAATTAGTAATAAACATAAAATATTATTTTAACTTAAATAAATATTGAAATAGCAAGAAACCATTTGCAATATGTCAAATGGGCAAAGATAATGCCCGCTCTTAGCAAAAGCTGTAGTGACTGACACTATCATATAATTCTGTTTTTTTGTGTGATTTGGTGTGGCATTTCTCGGAAGCGATTTGACCAAGATGATATCTTAAACTGGGGTATATTCTAGAGCTCAGTCCCTGTGCCTCTTCCCTTTTCTGTTTATATTCTCTCCTTCGGTGATGTCATACAATCTTATGACTTTAAAAATGTATGCTAACCCTGCCCAAATATACACACTCACCTTGGACCTCTTCTTGAACTGCAGACTCCCTTATCCAACTGCCTACTCACATCCCGTGAAGCTGTCCAGGTCTGAACTCTTCTTCTGCCATAAACCTGCTCCATGGCCGTTCTTCCCTAATGCAGTTAATGGAAACTCCACCACTCAGTTGCGTAGACAGACCTCCCCACATTAAAACCTCCACCAAATCCTGCTGGCTCCATCTATGGTTCTCACCACTCCATCACCATCTCCTGGTCCAAGTCAGCATCATGTTCTACCTGGGTTATTATAGAGCCAAATAACTGGTTTGTCCCTTTATAGTATATTCTCAGCACAGCAGCTTTTGACCTTATATGGCTTTCATAATAAAGCTTTCTATCTATCATCTATCTATCTGTCATCTATCACATATTCATCTGTACTGCAGGCTTTTTAGAGAATAAGAATAAAGTTGATGAGCTTGCTAAAATACAAGGGTAGAAAAAAGGAAGTGAAAGATTGATGAGAGTAATCAAATAAATTCTGTAATTCACAATTTTAGCAATATGAATGTATTCGAGGATGTAGCTGTAGTAAACAGCATCTGAGTTTTGTTTTTTTTTTTTTTAAAGATTTATTTATTTATTTGACAGAGAGTCAGAGATCACAAGTAGGCAGAGAGGCAGGCAGAAAGAGAGGGAAGCAGGCTCCCCACCAAGCAGAGAGCCCGATGCAGGGCTCAATCCCAGGACCCTGAGATCATGACCCGTGCTGAAGGCAGAGGCTTAACTCACTGAGCCACCCAGGTACCCCCAGCATCTGAGTTTTAACAGCTGTCCTGTTTTTGATATCAGAGACCTCTATTCAACTTCCTCAGTAAGCCAAATACTTTGTCTTATTTTATGTTTCTTGTTCTTTTCTTTCTTTTTTTTTTTTTTTAAAGATTTTATTTACTTATTTGACAGAGATCACAAGTAGACAGAGAGGAAGGCAGAGAGAGAGGGAGAAGCAGGCTCCCCGCTGACAGAGAGCCCAGTTTGGGGCTCGATCTCAGGACCCCGAGATCACAACCTGAGCTGAAGGCAGAGGCTTAACCCACTGAACCACCCAGGCGCCTCTTACTATATGTTTCTTATCTTGTGTTTTGTTGATGGTCTCTTTCAGGTATTTTATTACTGTTGGTTGTTATTAGATTTAACTATGAGTATATACTGAAAAAGATTGAAATGTATGAAGTCAAATGTCTTTGTTCTAATGCTTCTCTTGTTAGTTCTGAAACAGTGAGTTTTTTTCAGTTGCTAGTACAATAGAACTTAATGATGCATTGCAACTAATTAGAGAAGAACCTTCGCCCCAGTTACTGACATTTCCTTCTATCATTTCCACATTTTAGTTTTATAGATTTTTTTGAATTCTGCTTTACCCCACAGGCAAATTAATCGCCGTGATTTAACTCAGTCTTACCTTGCGTTACGTGAATAATTCTTCCTCTAATACAAATTGTGGCATTAAAGTCAGGACTGACCTCAAGATTGTAGCATTTCTATCAGGAAAGTTTGCCTTAGGCAAATTTTCTTTATGAAACAGTACTGAGATTAATTTTATTTAGTTGAAAGTATTTTATTGACTACTAATTGCTATAGTTGCTTTAGATTCTTTTCAAATTTAATAAACAAAATCCATTCTCTGGGCTTTGCTACTCGTAACATCCTGTGCGTTTAAAAGACTGAGAAATGGGTGGAATGAGTGAGGATTTAAAAAAGAAAAAGGAGATTATGGGAAAAAAATAGAAAGGATGATGAAGCTTAAACCTTGTTGTTTTTTATTTTTCACTGTCTCACTTTTTCCCCTAACATGTAATTTGAAAAAGATCAGTAGAAAAAAGCTCTTTGGTCTTCATTTCTTGTTTCATGTGCTTTGTAATAAGCATAAAGTATCAGTAGGAAGATGTCATTATATGAAAACTTTTGGCA